CCCCTCTGTATCCCTCTCTCCCGAAAACTCATCTCCTTTTCTGATTGATTTTTGAAAGTCATTCATTCAAAGTCCGATCAATAATAAAGTAATTTCAAAATAACTGCATTTGCCGTCAACTCGCACAGTCGACCGAAATGTAGAGATTTTTGTTGTCACTGTCTTTACGCATATCTAATAGATCTCGCATTTTGTCAAATTATGTCTTTTGTTTAAATCTCTGTTTTATAGTTTCTTTTTGCCTTTTATACCAATTAATTATGATATAAATCGAGTCCTAATATTTACTTTGTATTCAAATAGTCTTTTGAATTTTTGGTATTGTTTTACCATTTTTTGGCGTTTTATTCACTCCATTGCTAATAAATTTTAGTGTTTTTAATTAAATTTTGAATTGCTTTCAAAATATTTAGAGAAGTCTGCGAGAATTTTTAACAACATATAAAATTACCTTTAATTGCACTTTAAATCTTGATATTAACTGTGATTTCGTGGCAATTATGACTAGTTTTTACATTTTTTGAGTCCAACTCTTTGGCTACCATTTTATATTACCCGTACTTTTATGACTTATATGATGGAGAAATTGATTTTTATTTGTACTTTGAATAACTGTATGAATTTTTAAAATAATTTTTGAGTTTATATAATATTAATATAACTCAATAGAGAATTTAATTTTTATAAAATGCTTTCAATTTTTTATTCACTTCTCTTATAGTTTGATATGAAATGTAATTTTATTTATTGTCAGAAAATTTTTATTATATTTTGAGTTTTTATATTAAAAATATAATTTTTATTTCGCTTTTATTATAAGATTTAATATTTATGATTATATTTTTAAAAAAAAAAACTTTTTAATAAACTAAATGTCAAAATCACATGAAATATAATGAGTTATAAAACAAAACAATTCAAACATAAATACTTCAAAATCACATTAAAATTTTTGGGAGAAAACGAGACTTTTTTCGTTCAAAACTTTTTTGCATTTGTTTTGTTAATTCAATTCATTTCATAAATCATTCATTTTGTGGGCATTTATCGCGAAAATGCTGCGAAAAACAAAACGAAAACTTTTTTTTGTGCACAAAATATATATTCAAATCAATCAGTCGATTGGGAAATGAAAGCCTTTTTTAAAACAAATATTTTGATAATAAAATTAATTTCCAAAAAACATTTTGCTTGACATTTGCAAATCAAATGCAATTATTATGACAACAAAAACTCAATAATAATATAATTGCAAAGTGTTTGGGGATTAACACAAAACTTTTGACATAAATCTTACAAAAATCTTACAAAACACTTTCATAATAATTGGTGTTTGCGACAAAATCGTATTAATAAGCATTTAAGCAATGAACAAGCTCATTTGCAATTAACAGCTCATTTCATAATTTGGTTGTCAAACAAAGTTTTGTTTACATTTGCCATACATTGCCACACATTGAGTGCAATATTATGCCCATAAATGGCGACACTTTTGCCACCAAATTGTGTTTGATTTTTATACATGAGTTTCAATGCGAGTGAGAGAGAGATGGGGAGAGACTATGGGAGAGGGAGAGGAGTGAGAGCTTGCAGTCACTGAGAGTCTGTGAGACATTCACTCAATTAAATCGCGAGCCAATGGGCGCTCACTGTTTGCCATACGATTGCCGCCCATAAACAATGTCTCCCTCTCTTCCCCCCTAAAAAGCGTCACATTTTTTAATTAAAATTTCTCAAACTATTTCACAAATAGCGTGACGATAAATGTGGTTATTTTAAAACCCTAAATAATATTAAAATTAAAAATCAATGTTATATATAAATATTAATTCGTTCAATGGTATAGTTGATCACACTGTTAAAAACAATTAGTTTTTTCGTGTTTTATACGACAAATATTTGAATAAATAATTTGATGGCTATAATGATAGTTAGTATAAGGTGTGTCAACCCCCACCAGTGCCCTCCACTGGCAGTGCATAACGTGTGTTGTGGTCATGCGTTTCCGTTTAAAACACATTGTGTTGCATAGGGTTTGGCAGTGAACTCGAGCCCCCATTGAAATACGTGCGACAAAAAACTCTCCACTTTTCTATGAATGGCAACAAAATGAAAAGATTTACGAAAATACTAGAGATTAACGCAAATTGAATGATATATTAGACATAAATGTGCGATAAGAGTGTGTGTCATAAAAATACAGGCATTTTGCAGCAAACAATTCAAAGTCATTCATTTGGGGGCAAAATATTGGCGAACAAAAGAAAAATGTAAAAATAATTAATTAATCAATAGTTTTAAAAATTATATTAAATCACGCATACAGTAGACCCCCGGTATTGCATCAGGCACATACAAGTGCGCGCAAACATTAAATATGCAAATATTTTAACGGGCCCATGTAACATAATAACAAATATAGCATAATTAAAAAAAAGTATCCAGCTAACGATGATGTAACATGAATGAAAGTGTCCATTGAATAGGTGGCTGGCGTGCAGTGTAGGGTGTGTGTGTTGGTGGCGTACGTGCTGTGTGTATGGCCCGCGTGAGTGTGCGTATTGAGTGGAAGGCAGAGCGGTGTGTGTGTTGGCTGTGTGTGAGTGCAGTGGTGTTGGACTGCTTTAGAGATTGTATTGTATTGTATGGCAAGCATTGGTAGCACTGATCACAGCATACATCCACTCAATAGACTTGTTGTCAATGTATTCACGTTTCGCGTGCATTGGCGCCGATATACCAGCGCTTAACTAACCGGACAACCGTTGACTGTCAGTGCTATCTGTGTGTAGTATTGTGTGCATTAGTGGTGACCGTAGCCGTGCGACCAGTGACCACACATCCAGTGACCAGCGGTGGGACGGCATCGGATCGGCCGTTGATAGCGCTCAGCGATGGGTAAGTGTGTTGTGTTGAGTGGCGTATATATGCAGGGCTTGTGTGGGCTATGCGTGTGTTTGGCGCTCAATGGCTCACTCTCTCGCTATTGGTTTGTGGCGTACATTACATACAGTGAGAGCACACAAAGCGGGGAGTCCTATACACTTCATGAAGTACAGCACTGAGCTGTACGCCATTCAGCCAATAGCAGCGCGTGTTACTCTGTTATGGGCTATTGGGCCGACCAATAGCGAGCCCCGTAAGCTCGCATGGCTCGCACATTCAACTACACATACAAAGCCTGCATAGCCTTCGTCTCTACTGCACTGTACATGTGATTTGATTGGCACTAATGTATTGTATGTATTATGGCGTCCCTTAAGCAGAATATGCCGACTATCACCAGGCGATGGCTCAACACGCGGCCAGTCTCGCCAACTCCAACCAATTGCACCCAACCATCGGTCAGCTCCAGATGCAACAGATGCTGTCCAGCGGACTCAACCTCACAGTCAGTCCATTCATACATACAGACAGACACTCTCACGGCATTCCCATTGACTACACTGACAACCATCTGATAGCTTATCTATTGCCCCATTAATTGCCATTCAAATGAGATTTATTTTATACAAATTCACTTATAAATAAACATTATGCCAGAATAGATACAGAATAGATACAGGGTCAGTAGGCAGCGCGAGTAGGCATAGTTTTATCAGTTTGGATGCAGGTTGTTTTTTAAAAAACAAAATATGATAGCTTTTACTTTTCATACATTTTTTGTTTTATTTATTTGAATGATCAAAACAAACCATTTAAATGATCCTGATCAATGTGAATGTAGTGCAGTGGCAAACTTGATGACATTTGAGTGCAATAATACAATGATATAGTTTTTTGTTATTGATTGCAAACTTTTGCCAATTGTGTGGATCTATTGTTTTGCAGTGAAAGCCATTAATAGCCACTACTTTGTGGACACGACTTGTATAGCGATTAATATTTCAATTTTGAATACCCTATGAAAATGGAAAATGAAATGCTTTTTCATATTTATTTTTATTGATTTTGGCATTAATTTTGTTTTTGTTAGTGTTTCACTCATATAATGCCATTTATATTGATGTTTACGTTTAATTTGCAATCGTATTGCTGTTACTAATGAACCGATTTGTGTGATCCCCTCTATGGGAACGTCAGGTAATGTCTGGAGGCCTGACAAACAACAACACGGGTCAGCACCACCTGACCGGCCACGGGGGCCATCACGTGATGTACGCCAACGTGCAGACGGCGAGTGGTGGTGGTGGCGGCGGAGGAGGAGGCTGTGCCTCTCCAGGGGTGCGAGGTGGCGGCGGAGGACACGGCAGTCACAAGAAGCAGAAGAAGCCCAAAGTGAATAAAGACGGCGTCCCCGCGCCCAAGAGGGCCACCACTGCTTACATAAACTTCACTCAATGGTATAGAGAAGAGTTAAAAAAGGCCGGTCGACCCATCCCTAAGGTAAGCCATACTCCTAGTTACCTATATTTACGGCTTTTCTCTTCACTCTATATACCGGTTGTCTATGTATTCTGTTGTAGTTTTTCTTTTTTTCTCTTCACATCCATTTCACACTAAACTAATCAAAAGTATTTAAATGTTTTTCTTGTTGATGTCAATCTCACTGCCAGTGGTGTACCCAAGAGTACATGTTATCAATATTTAAGCGTTACTTTTAATTATCGATTCAAAAAGACTATAAATTTTATGCAATTTTCTCTCTAATTTGGCTTAAAACTGAAAATAGGAAAATATATTATAGTCTTATGCTATGCTATGATATGCTATGCTATGCTATGCTATATACCCGATGTGTGCAACTTATCCATTGTTTTGTGCCCTTTTTCACTACATGTCTGTCTCCCAATCCTCACCCAAAAGATGTTGTATTTGATGGGAATATGTAATCAATTTTTAATATAAATATAAACTCAATATAATTTGAGAATCTAATGAATTGGTTATTAATTTTTATGTATTTATTGAATATTATTTGCGGTTTTGATGTGAATATTATTTTTTTAATGGTTTATTATTTAGTTGTGAATTGATTTTTGCTTCAAATAATAATTATAAACATTTTTAATTGTCTACAAATGAAATGAGCGCTAATTCTAGCAAATAGTGAACAAATAAAAAAATATGAAAACTGCTTTTGACATGAAGTCTTACCATTGAACCACTCATTCAGTTGTGTTAGCAATCAATTAATTTTAAAATTCATTCCCACAATAGATGGCAGACATTGAAAATGCTATATAATATGTGTTGAAGAATTAGATCTTTTCCACTATATATAAATGGCATTCATTTTACACTATTTTAATACAATATTCCAGGCGTTCACTCACTCTCTCTCTCTCTCTCCCATTGAATCCCATTCCCAACCGATTCTATACGTCCCGTAAGAATCGATAATAAGGTTTTCATTAATTTCTCTCAAAACTATCAAATGAATCGTGTGTTTGAGCGCTGTTTGTATGGCTTGCGATCGGAATATATATTTATTTGTTGTTTTAAAATAGCAATAATTGGTGATAGAGTTGGTGTGACTCCTATGCGGCGAATGTCTTAAATGGTTGTTAAATATCTCGGGTTTGTTTGGATCGCACCGTTCATATAGCGCACCAGTAGTGCAATGAGTGGATGCGATGTCTCCTCCGTCTCTCCCTTTCCCTCCCCTCTGTATCCCTCTCTCCCGAAAACTCATCTCCTTTTCTGATTGATTTTTGAAAGTCATTCATTCAAAGTCCGATCAATAATAAAGTAATTTCAAAATAACTGCATTTGCCGTCAACTCGCACACAGTCGACCGAAATGTAGAGATTTTTGTTGTCACTGTCTTTACGCATATCTAATAGATCTCACATTTTGTCAAATTATGTCTTTTGTCTAAATCTCTATTTTATAGTTTCTTTTTGCCTTTTATACCAATTAATTAGGATATAAATCGAGTCCTAATATTTACTTTGTTTTCAAATAGTCTTTATTTGAATTTTTGGTATTGTTTTACCATTTTTTGGCCTTTTATTCACTTCATTGCTAATAAATTTGTGTTTTTAATTAAATTTTGAATTGCTTTCAAAATATTTAGAGATAAGTCTGCGAGAATTTTTAACAACATATAAAATTACCTTTAATTGCACTTTAAATCTTGATATTAACAGTGATTTCGTGGCAATTATGACTAGTTTTTTACATTTTTTTTGAGTCCAACTCTTTGGCTACCATTTTATATTACCCGTACTTTTATGACTAAGAAATTGATTTTTATTTGTACTTTGAATAACTGTTTGAATTTTTAAAATAATTTTTGAGTTTATATAATATTAATATAACTCAATAGAGAATTCAATTTTTATAAAATGCTTTCAATTTTTCTTTCACTTCTCTTATTGTTTGATATGAAATGTAATTTTATTTATTGTCAGAAAATTTTTATTATATTTTGAGTTTTTATATTAAAAATATAATTTTTATTTCGCTTTTATTATAAGATTTAATATTTATGATTATATTTTTAA